AATTTTGGCCCTTAGATCAATGCAGCTGATACCCTTTTGAAAATTACATGAAAGTATTAAAATCGTCACTTTGAAAACACGAAAAAACATAACAGCAGTTTATATATAGGCACAAGGAACAGTGCAGTTTTCCAAAAAAAAAATACCAAAAAACTTATTTTGAATAATGATAACTTCATGTTTAAAAAATTGGATTGTAATGGTCCTTTACCCAAGGACCCATAGGTCCTCAATATCATCGTTTGCATTTTAGTAATTTTATGTTAAATACTACTGTTGATCGAGATAGTTATCTAATGACTAATTGTGGTAAAGTAGTAAAATGTATGAACTTTGCTAATAAACGAGTTAATAATAAGAAAATCCCAGTTATTGTAGGTCAATATTTTATTAACTAAGTCCAGCTTATATTAATCCCCTTTCGTCTGATTTTGTTAATATTTATAAAGTTGAAAACATTTCAAATGATTTAAGTATTTTAAATATAAATACAATTAAGTATAAAATAATGGTCATTAATATAGAAAAAGATATTATTGCTGTACCAATATTCCATTCAGACTGTTCATTTTACATTATTTCAGTTAATAATCTAACTATTAATAATCTGTTAATATTTTAGGTGTTTTAACTATACTTTGTAAGTCTTATTTATTAATTAAATAAAAAAATTGAAAAAAAAAGCAAATTAAAATTGTTGTATAAAATTAATAATGATCAATTATTCCTATTATTATTGATAACTTTAGGTAAGTAATACATGAATTATTAAATTTGTTTTTTTTTTTTTGTTAATATTTCCATTATAAGTCCATTGACTTTAGATTATACAAATATACTATATTCTAAAATCAATTTTAGTACCTATTAAAGCAAATCAATATTAAAAACATTTTAACAATATATTTTTATATAGCTTATATAATTTTAGTCCCAGAAATAGAATACCTATTTTTTCTTTACACAAATATATATTTTAAATATTTAGAGTAATAATGTAATTAAAAGGGTTTTCAATTAATAATTATTTACAATTGTTTTATAACTCTAAATATTTTATCCAATAGTCTTAAAGTAAACCTATATAATTGTTATAATGTCTAGTTATACTCTTAATTGATATTTAACGTTATGGTATGGTATTATTAGTTTAATATATGATTTAGACAATGTGCTAAAACAAATAATTTTAATATCAATCAGATTTTGTTGTTCTATAAATATATTTGTATTGTATACCTATAGTATGTGGGTCGATATTCATTTTCTAAAAGATAACAGTGGATGTGCCAAGTAAATGGTATAATGACGGTACTTGTGCGTGGCCGAATACAACAATAAATGCAGTTTGGGCTGTTCAAAAAAACTCTATCTAATAAATTGTAATTTCAGTATTTAAATGCTAGAAAACTAGGTTCAATGTCTGGTAATTATATTCTGTATTATGATATAATATTATATCACAACTAAATTTTATTCCATTTTCAAAATATTATTTAAAAATAATTGTGATTTTAGATAGAGTAACCAAATTTTTATTTTGTATATTTACAACTTCTTCCTGTCAAACTTACTCAATACTAAAAGTATATATAGTTCACAAAAAATTATAATTTTATGTTTTATTTATGTGCAAATAGATTCCTATGAAAAAGCAAAACGTAAAGAAAATATTGCTCAGGAATCATCTGATGTATTTCAAATAAAACAAAAAGAAACGAGTAAAAAAAGAGCTAAAGTGGTAGAAAGTTCACCTTCGCCTTCTCCTAAAAAATTTAAATCTAAATTAAAAGAAATAAGTTTTATAAAACCGCCTGAAGTATTTGGTAAGTATTATCTAATACAATTATTAAAATACGATCGATATAATATAAATACTTATTTTGAATTTAATTTTTAGAAAATAAAAAAGTGAATCCTTACGATGAAGATTCTCTAAGCATTAACTCTTTTGATGATAATGTTAAAGATCCAGATTTTATTCTTAAATGTAAGTGTGTATGATTGATTTCTAGAAGAATTACACCTACTTATATATATATTATATATAAATTATTATCTTTTAGCTCCAGATATTTGTGAAATTACCTCACCAATAATTATTAATTAATTATTGGAAAGATTAGAGTAGTATCAATGTCTGATTCAAAACTGATTCAAAACAAAAAAACTGATTTAAGTTCTAATTCACAATCTATGAATGACGTGCATAAGTATTCTACTAGTAAGCCTCAAAAAGTGAATGCGAAATAAAACCTTTTCAATGACTCACAACTGTTCAGTAAAATTCTTGTAAAACGTGTTTAATTTAAAATCAAATATTTACAGACTTTATTAATTATATTATATTAAAACTATTTACCAAATTGTTGAAATTATTTGTTCATTGATCTTTATAGGTCCACAAATTAAGTTGCAATAAAATATGGATATATCATCTTCTTATAAAAATGCTAGGTAATTTAGAGTTTTCTTCCGATTTCAGTTTGAGTCAAGATAATAAATTACATTATACTTTTTCTACTAAATATTATAATAATTACTATTATTTTTTACATTTAATAAGAACAAATTATCAATTAAAAAGATCTGAAAATACAGTCAAAAATAACGATTTAGATGGTTTGATGTCTACTGCAGGTATAACAATATTATTTAAAATTGTTTATGCAAATTGTAATTATTACCTTTTATAATGTTACAATTTGACCTTCTTTCTAATTTCCTGAATAAACAATTTTATTGAACGTTAAAGTTAATGTACAGTGTATGTAATGTATCTATATTACTTTACATGATATGAATATTTAAACTATACCAACACATCCCATTTAAAAATATAATAAATATACATTTTTAATCAAATAGCAGTTTAAAGTCAAATAATATTATGCCTATCTAATCTACTAAAATATATCTATTTACAAAATCAATTTATTAGAAAAATAACTATTACCTATTTTAGCATTAGATTATTTTTATTTTTAATTTAGTATTAATATTTACGTATAAAACCATAAAAACATTGGTATAATGTATAAAGTTAATATTCTATATTCAATTATTTTAATTTAAAAACTCAAGTTTGGAATTATTCTAATAAAAGTATTACTGGAATAAATAAATGTGTTAACTTACCAGTTATCACATCTTCGGTAGAGCCATCAAAGACAAACTGGATAATTGATACAATCGAATCGCTGTGAACACTAATTGATGATTTGCTCAATAAAGGTAGCGTTTCTATTTTAATTGCATTTAATTCAATTTAACACAATGGACCACCACCTATCTGATCAACCAAAAACCATTTGGTTATGAGTTGGTCTTATTCTAGACTTTATGAGTATTAGTCTAATTACTGCTTACTTATTACAAACAAGTAAATATAACTTTTTAAAAATTTAAAGTTAGGTAACAAAATAATAAAAACCAAAGTTTTTGATTTTATAAGTTTAACTAGGGGACCCACAGGCTATTGCCTCCGAAATTATCGTTCATCATGCCACTGCACTTTTCTATTGCCTATCTATGTCCTTTAATGAGAAAGTAATTTTTCAAATCATGGGGTTGAAAATAGTAACAACAAACAATAGTAACTTACGGTAATATTTAATATAATATTAATACCATATACAAAGACGTATTTATTTTTCATAACTAATAAGTAGGGCCCGGATTTTTATGCAAAAATGTTTGTTAAATATGCACATATATATGCACTCAAAAATTCAAAAATATGCAAATAATATGCAAAAAAATGTATTGTTTAAAAATACAAACATAAAAAAAAAATTAAAAAATATAGTATGAAGTGAAAAAAAAATACAATTTAAATATAATTTTTTAAAATGTGTATAAAGCATAAAAATTTGTATTAATTATTGAAAGAATACCAACATGATGTAACAAAATGTGCTTTTAAATTATCAAATTGAAAAATTAATAATAAGTTGTAAAATAATGTAATAAAAGTAATAATAGGTTGTGGGGGTAAACTTAAGTTTGGACATTTTTCTTTAAAAGTACCTACACGACTAGGTGCTTTTAAAAAAACTTTTTTTGTGTTAGATATCAACAAATCAACATTTGAGAATTCATCCCTAATAGCTTCTGATAATCTATGAAGCCCATGGGCCATACAAGTAATATGGATTAGTTTAGGATAAAATACCTTAAGCGCATGTCCAGATTTTACCATATAAGGAGCGGCGTCTGTGACATACAATAACACTTTGTCATGCAATACTTTTTCAGACCATAATATATACTCATTGAATCATTGAATAATTTAATATAACGAATTATATTTGTCAGGAACGTCAGCGATCGCGCAAAATCGGCATATATATCAAACTTTGAGTAAAATTTAAAATATTTTATCAAGTATTTATTAAATACCTATGCACATTTTATGTAATTACCCCGAAATATGCAATTATTATGCATTTTGATGCAAATATGCAAAAATATGCAAAATAAAAAATTAACAGTAGAATCTACGTTTTACGAAACGTCAAGATATTTAATCAGAATTATTATACGTCAAATGTAGAAGAATATGCATTTGCATAAAAATCCGGGCCCTACTAATAAGTAATGCATATCACTTGCCACTTACGCTGACAATAAGTAATATCTAAAAATAGGTTTTACAAAACATACACTTAATAATAATTTTAAACAGATAGATTATTTTAAGTAGAATAATATTTTATAATATTGTATTTAATGTTATTTAATAAATCACAAGAGAACACAACTACCTATTTCTAATACCTACAGTATGTCAATATGAAAGTATAATCATCATGTACCAATTAAAATTCAATTGATAATGACAATTCAATAATATATTTTTAACACATATACAAATATTTATACAAATTTTAAAATGGTTATAATGTCTATATAGATACAGCATTTAATATATTGTGCAATAAAAAAAAATCATTTAAACAATTAATAAATAATATTACATATCATTCTAATGAAATTGTTTAAGACGTAGCCGGAGCAATTTTTCTGAACTTATAGCTTTTACTTTCTGGATTAGCCCAACACTCTTTAACATGTTCATTTAGATTTTTAAAATGTTTGTAACAAAATGAACAATAACCTGGACTGATAATTTGGGGAGCGATTTGAGGAATTTTAGGACCTAGAACCTGGGATCGAGTCATTGGATAAGATTGGCTTATCACCACTGGTGAAGTATTGCTAACAGATGTTGGGGTTTGTTGCAAAAATACTGGTTGTGGCTGTAACATTGTATATTGAACTGGATTGTTTGAGTCTTTTACATTATCACCCAGAAAAATTTGATAAGCAATCCCAGGCATTTGTGTTGAAGGCACAATTAACTGATGTTGAGTTGAGGCCTGTTCCAAATGTGAAGTACTCGCAGAAGCTATGGGACGGGTCATGGGCAAAATAGGTCTAGGTTTACGACCCCTCCGTCCTCTAGGCTTTTTCACTGTTTTCAAATTAACTTTTGATGCGGCAATTTTTTTGGCTTGAATGTCAATTGCTGGTGGTGGTGGTGGAAGTGACTCACATACAATTGTTGGTTGTATTTTAATCCCTTCTTCTTCCACATTTTCTATTTCATCCTTAATATCAACAATGATGTTGAACTCACATTCCTTTATTTCTTCTTTGATTTGATCTGTAAACAATTCATCAGAAGCTTTAACACACACAATTTTATCGCTATGAATATCCATCTCACTTTCTCCGTAGCTTTCAAGTGTTACCGATTTTACAGCCTCCTTCGTTCCTTCAAAACCTTCAGTTACTTCAGCTTCTTCGATTGACTGGTGGTCCATATCATAATTAAAATTGTCATCATCTTAATTTAAAAATAATAATTATTAGTTATACAATACACTTAATTAAAATCAATATTTAGAAGCATTAATATATCAGCATATAAACATGGCCAAACAGCAATATGCAAGAGAAAAAAAAATGTGTAAAACAACACTAAAATGGATAAAAAAATTAAAAAAATTAAAAAAATATTATTAAAGCAAACTTGTAAATATGAAAAATTTATTAAGTTCACCATATGCAAGGCATAACAAATAACTCATATATTTGAGTAAATTTAATACATACCATAACTTTAAACTTGTAGAGTAAACTCTCAATTAATACATTTAAGTACTACAAACAATCTTAACAACGATAAGAAATTTAACAATTTTCAGTAAGTATACTTATTTGCTATAAATAAGTATTTAATAAATACATATGTATTAGTATAAATGATCAGGTAATTGCAAGGAAACAATTATCTTCTCAAAAATATTAACACAAAAATATGTACCTAAATATGTTTTGCAAGACTGCTGAAAATACTAGAATATCAACAAGTCTAAATTCATGATGAAAATAAAATAAAATAACAGTACACCAATTATACTACCCAATTATGTAGTAAATACATATGTATTAGTATAAATGATCAGGTAATTGCAAGGAAACAATTATCTTCTCAAAAATATTAACACAAAAATATGTACATAAATATGGTTTGCAAGACTGCTGAAAATACTAGAAAATCAACAAGCCTAAATGCATGATAAAAATAAAATAAAATATCAGTACACCAATTATACTATCCAATTATGTAGTAAATATATATGTATTAGTATAAATGATCAGGTAATTGCAAGGAAACAATTATCTTCTCAAAAATATTAACACAAAAATATGTACCTAAATATGGTTTGCAAGACTGCTGAAAATACTATAATATCAATAAGCCTAAATTCATGATAAAAATAAAATAAAATAACAGTACACCAATTATACTAGCCTTCAATGATATAATATAATATTATGGTGTGCATTTACTCAGTACACGTATTATGTAACTTCTTTTCTGAAACATACTCATATTCATACATTATGGATTTAGTCTTAGTGTACTCCGACATATCGTCATGAGAATAATAAAATTTATACATTACCGTGTTGATGGCTAGAATAATTTAATTTATATTAACAGTATACCTAGCGTTAATTGTTAAAGTTTTGTAAAATAAATAAGAATAATCTTAAGAAACATTAGACTGTAAGCTCTAATTAAAATGTAGTTTTCTATAACTATTGTGCGGTTAATACTTAATAGGTCCATTGGCCAAAATCCTTAGTAAAATCTAGATTGTAGATTAGAATAATAGAATATAATATAACTAAATCATGTAACTTTCATAATTATCACTTATCAACCTAACGTTAGATAGCAAATCAACAAGTGGATCAAAACCACCTTGATCCATGCACATTATTATCAATTCTCCATTATCACTATAACATAAAAACATTTTTCGTTTGATGCTCTTATCATTTTACTATATTTTTTACACTTATATTTTTTATTAGTATTTTATTTATATTTTATATTTTTGTGCAATATGGATAAAAAATCAAAACAAAAGGGTGAAAACTGTTCCTATATCTGTTACAACAATTTTGCTAGTTCCACAACACTACGGGACATATCGATGATATACATAAAAAAAATCTGGTACTTGTTCAGAGTAAGTTATTAACAAAAAACTAGGGAACCATTTCAAACATTGAGTAAAATACCTACTGGTGGTGGTATTTTGTAAATATGAACTCGAGTACAATTAACTAAAAATGTGTTTCCATAACATACAAATCTAAATATCTAATTTTTATTTTGCATTTATTGATTTTTTATGGTATTTTTTTGTTATTTTATGTGTATGTGTATTGTCAAAACAAAATGGTGAAAACTGTTGCCATATATGTAACAACTGTGACTCCCAGCTCACAACAATGCTTACCATTGATGAATTTGGAGCTGGATGTCCAGAGGTTTTCTGTATCAGCAACAGGATTGATTCTATAGCTATTTCTCAGTTTTTTAAATCTGTTAAAGGAAAAATGGGTCTTATTCCTGCCAAAATATTGATGTCTGATGATGCTCCGACATATATCAACTCCTGGACAAAGATAATGGGCAAGCCTCAACACCATTTAATTTGCAAACTGGCATATTGACAGAGCTGGAGAAACAACCTCAATAAAATACCAGACCCAATGAAGCAGTCTGAAGTACATAAATCTGTGGGACTCATATTGAAATAATTGACGAGAAAACATGGCTTGTACAGTCATCATCTGGGTCAACATTATGCTCTGTGTCGATTAATGACCACAGAAGTTGTATGGGCTGCCCTCTGTCATGACCTGAATGTAAAGTATGTGTTCATTATTACACATGTACATACATTGATTTTAAAATTAAGGGGGACTTTTGCAAGCATGTCAGCATTGGAGAAACAAATTTTTTATAGCAAAATGTGCAATTTCCTTAATTTCTGAGAAAAACGTCCTTTTTCCATTTGTTTTATCAAAAAGTACTTTTTCCTTTGTAATTTATTGTAATACAAATTTAATATTTTGACTATCATTTTTTTTAAAAACTTACTTATTTTATATTCTCATGTGTATTTTTAATAATTAAAATATAAAATTGTACTCAGGGAAATTAAATTATATTTATTTGTATTTATTTTATATTAAAAAAATGTTTACATATCGTAAATAACTTCAATAGAACTATAATAGATGACAAGATCAGTTTTGGAGGAAAAATCTTGGTGGCCTATTCATATCTATGGTTATCAATGATAAAATAATTAAAATAAAAAAAAAAGTAGTGAACTTTTTAAGAAATGGAAAGGTCCGTTTTGAATTGTAACCCCTCAATTACTGATAACAAGTTTAATTTTACCTCTACTCGATGAAACACTTTCACAAATTCCTGCCATTTTCTGATTTATGTATAGACAAATTTTTAAATTTAATAACAAATGAATTAGTACTTTGAATTAAATCAATGTATGCTGTATGTGAGTAGTTGTGATTGTAACTCATTGTATATAGTGCCACCATTCAGCAGTTATGTAAGTTGACGATCGAAATTAAACAGTAGAAATATTTGTTGACTGAAAATATTATTGTTAATATCTTTAGTTTACATACAAAACACAACATGCATTTTTATTATAAAATGATATATTTTATAGTTAGGTATACACGGTACGAACGTACAACATACCTTACTATTATTGTGGCACACTGCCACGACAACCGAGAGATATAAAAGATGTTTAAAAACAATGTAATCAGAACTTGAAATAAAATAAAAATAAAAATGTAGTTGCGTTGCATTACTACAGCAGTGGGGCGTGAACTAAATCAATTTATCAAACCAAAAAATGTATTATTAAAAATATTATCTATATAGGTACTATATGAGTCTTAAATTCTGTTCTCGTTTTATTTGTAATATTGTCTAGATATAACTAGTAATAAATATATTTGTTTCTTTTTATTTATATGGGTTTTTTTTTATTCCATCTGTAAGAAAGAAGAACAATTTATGTGTTAAAATAATGTTAAAATAATAAAAACAAAAATAAAACGGCAGATAATTTATAGTCAAACTTAAGGTAAAAATATGTTATAAGGAACCTTATGTGTAAACACTAAGCATTAATTTATATTTTATTTTTAAAGCAATCCGTGGATATTTTAAGATTGTAATATCATTGATTATAAATACTATAGATAGCTCACTGCAGTACAAAATACGCTGCGCGCTGAATGGCGAGTACCGCTACGGGGCGCTCCGCTCGATATTTAGTTATGGCGTGTACCGCAATAATCGCTAGTATAGTTCATAGGAGTAGGGATTAGTCTTGAATTTTTCCCTGTAGAGACAGACGTACATATTGACCTATCTTGGTTTCAATTCTCGGAGCGTCTACTAAGACATTAGACAATACTCGTATAATACTATAATGTAAACTTGGTACCTAACTTGTCGTTACACTGGCGCACTACCAACGATTACAAAATAATAAATATTAAATACCTATCCATAATAATATAATCCTAGATGGGTGGCCTCCTTTTTGGCCAAAATGTACCCTTTCCATTTCAGCTAGTAGTACAGTTTTCTTTACAATTTACAATTATAACAATAGAACTTAACAATTTAAGCTGTAAGTAAAACGGTGACACCCCCCCCCTCCACCCCATTAAATAGGTTGAATATTTATTTTTAAATCAGTCCCTAATTATTAAAATATATTAACTAGTTATTGTATAGTCATATTTATGTTTAATGTTTATAGTATGCATATTAGTATAATATTTGTTTGTACATTTTTGTTAAAACACATTAGTACAATACGCATTTACACATAATATTTACTATATTATAGTATAGTCATTGTCATCAATCATCATATATATTTTCTAAATTGAAATATTATTCCATAAATAAAAATATTATTATACCTGCAATAGACTTCACGTTACACTCAATGCGAAGTATTTTTGGCTCTTTTAAATTATACTATTGATTATAAATAGTATCATTAAACTATTTACTATTTATAATCAGTGCTTGTACGCTTGTACAAAATATTGGAATTTTATTATATTTATTATGAGTATACATGCGGAAAACATGCGCATTATGGACGTACAAATCGAACGATACTCGTTGATCATTCAAATTGTGTTGTTCTCAAATAATTACAATGTCTAGTGACAAATGTTCATATTTTAACTGCACAAATACACGTAGAAATACATCAAATATAATATTTCATCCTTTTCCATCAAACGAAGAAAGGTCCAAAATATGGATAATTAATTCTGGTAAGTAGCCAAGTAGGTAATTAACATTCGTAATTTATCTATAATATAGGTTAATAAAATCTGAAATAATATGGAAAAACATTTTTTAATTTAGGAAATATTAAACTAGAATCTCTAAGTCCCAAAAAGTTAAAAAAGAAGTTTGTATGTTCATCTCATTTCGAAAAAAATGCCTATTCTAATCCCACAGACCCAAAATCACGACTAAACCGTAATGCAGTACCAAACAAATATATAAGTAAGAAAAAATTATATTTTTGTGTATTTTATTTTTGACACATGCAAATAATATAAATTAAAAAATGTTAGATGAGTTAATAGATGATAATGTTCCCGAAACAAATACGACTGTTGAAAAATCACCCATAAATTGGACATGGCAGGTATCAAATCAAAATACTACCGAAGGTAGGTATACATATTATTATATATTTTAAATATATTTATTTTACAATGTTGTGCAGTTGTAGAACAGAGCGATGAATGTATTGACTTTACAATAATGTGTGTTTAATTTTTATTTGTGTCTGTGTACAGTGTAGTTTTTAGACGAAACTAAGTTTTCGAAATAAACTTTGGTTATTGGTGTAACTGTAAAACAAATGACCATACATTTATGAAATTTTCATTGTTTATAACATTAGCATTTACAATAATCGATACTTACAATTTTCAAAATATTTTCATTTGTTTTGACCTGTTTCAGTTTCCAATTTTTTTCGGTTTTTTTTCTATAGATGTCAATAAAATTATATATGTTGGGTAAAAAAGCTTGAAATTTAATATAAGACTTCTAGTATACTGTAACAATGGCAGTTGAAAAATATCACAATTTTTTTTTATAAACATTTAAAGTTTGGATTTTGATAAAAATTCATCAAAATATCGAACATTCGCAAATTATTTTGTAGTTAAAGATTTATGAAATTTCCAGTCTATATAGCTAAGGTTAGAAAATGTAAAACAAGGTTTCTTGTAACTACCTAGTGAATAATATAAATAATAATATAATAATATATTTATTTAAATTTAACACTTGTGCGCATACACACAAGTTGATGAAACAATCATAACGACACCAAAAAAATCACGACATCGTCGTCAACAATTTACAGATGAAATGTTTGAAGGTCAGTATAATTTAAATTTATAGTTAATTTTTAGTTGGTACTAAAGAATGACAACAACACGAGTATGATAAAATCTATTTTACTATACTTATATTTTTAATTTTTAAAAATTTGTAAATTTTAGATTCAGAGTGAAGTGATGAATTTATTGATTTTACAATGATGTGTTTTTTTTTTAATTTTTTAATTTTTTAAATGTTTTTTGTTTGTCATCACTTTTTAGGATAATAAAAATACTTAGATTTTCTTCAACGGTATCTTTTCTGGTAGGAAAGTAAATCTAGTTGATACTTTGTGGCTAGTAGTTTTCAAAAGCGCCATGAAAAACAAAAGAAAATTTAAGGAAAAACGGGAATTTTTACAGTATACAGGATATAAAAAAAAAAAAAATAAAAAAAAAATAAACACAATTGTAAAACCATTAGCTTCCTCGCTTCACTCAGAATCTAAAATTATAAAATATTCAGTTTATAAAATTAAGTTTTTAAAAAATGCTATGTGTTTGGGCAATTTTACATAATGCGTTTGGGCGAGTGATTTTCAAGCATTGTAATGTGTTTGGGTGATATTTTTTTAATATCCTGGAATGCTGCATTTTATCAATCAATTTTCTCTCTCGTTTTGACAGACTTGGGTTGTAAATGAATTCCACGGGTATGATTAAAAGTAGATTGTTTTTTTTTGTGTGTGATTAAAAATTGAAATGATTGAAAATCAAGTTAAAATATTAATAAAATTAAAAAAATTATATTATGTAAGTTATATATAAGTGTGTGTAATAAAAAATTAATATGATGTGCCATATTTAGATTGATATAAAATTCGCTATAGATTTTATATATTTTAGATTCTGAGTGAAACGATGAATGTATTGATTTTACAATGATGTGTTTTTATATTTTTTTATTTTTTTTTGTGTCTGTGTACACGATAAGTAGTCGAAATAATGCTTCGATTTTCGACTTCAGTATCTTGTTCGATTGGAAAGTGAATATCGTTGGTGCATTGGGGAGGTGAAAATTCAAAATTCCCAGTACTTTACTGTTTAGGGACATTTTCATTTTTCATTTTTTTTTAGTTTTTTTTTTTGAAATATCAATAAAATTTTATTTGTTGGTTAAAAAAACTTGAAAATTTAATAGAAGGCTCCTAGTATATTATTTCAAAGGCAGATGAAAAATATTAAAAATCGTTAGTCACAGTTTTTTTTTATAAGCATTTAAAGTTCAAAAATTGACAAAATATGGAAAAATCACGAAAATTAGCAAATTATTTTGAGTTAAGAATTCGTAAAAATTTTTCTTTTTAAATCTAAGATTTGAAAATGTAATACAAGATTACTCATAAGTTTGTCTACCTTTATCAATAAAAAAATCTCTATCGGACAGTCAAATTAAATTTTTATGAGCGTTTGAAATTCAAATTTTTACAACATTGGATGTTCACTCGATTTCTCATGTAGCGATTTCCTTATTTTGTTGTTATTCATAAACGAATAACTATAGATACATGAAAATTTCACTGAATATTTATATTAGCATTTCCTATACACCACACAATTTTGAAAATATTTTGATTCTTTTTGAGCTGTTTACGGATATTTTCATTTTTCAATTTTTTTAGTTTTTTTTTCTATGAATATCAATAAAGTTTTATCTGTTGGGCCAAAAAGTGTAAAAATTTAATACAAGGCTTCTGATATATTGTTACAATATCAGTTGAAAAATATTAAAAATACATAGGCACAATTTTTTTTTATAAGCATTTAAAGATTGAATTTTGACAAAATTTATCAAATTTAAAATTGAATAACTATTTTGTAGTTAAAAATTTATAAAATGTTCAACTTTTATTTCTAAGGATTGAAAATTTAAAAAAAGATTCCACGTGAGTAGTTAATTCTGTTACACAAAATATCTAAAAAATACATAAGCAAATTTTATTTTTATAGTCATTTTAATTTCAAATTTGGACGAAATTACATATTAAAAAACCTAGTTATTTTGTTGTGATTATATAATAATATTAGTGGGTACCTACTTGAAACTTCTAAAGTGTACTATTATATATCTATGATAGTATCAGGGTTTGTTATTGATGTTGATGTATAACGTGTTATAAGTACCTAATGGATAATGTGATATGATTAATTTGGAATTTATTATAGGTCAATTTTTTTGTTAATGCCATAGATAAGTATACAATTTGTCTTAAACCTAGACTGACATACCGTCTTCGCTCAGAATCGTTTTTCTTATACAATGATATTGTATCATTGAATTCAAATTTAATAGCATCCATTATACAGTGACCCACTTGTAACCTACTGTACAGCAGAGCGACATCCACTTACCCACCTTTTTTTTTCTCTTAATCATTACAAACTTATAACTTTATCTTTTACATTGTATCATACTAGCTTATACGAAACTCGCCCAAACACATTACTTTTATTGTGTGGGTAAAATGGTAATTCGCCCAAACGCATGACGCCCTTAAGGGTCTCTTAATTAAGGGTTGAAAATTTAAAACATATATGAAAATGTTAGAGTATTTATTTATTTATATATTTTATAAAAACAATGACTTTTTCAAATGTAATTCTTTTTGGGAAAACGAAAAATTTAATATCATAAAATATTATGTCTACCTATTAATAGTAATATTATAAGCTGACATACCGTCTTCGCTCAGAATATTTTTTCGTATACAATAATTATTATATTATTGAATTCAAATTTAGTACCTTCCATTTCAGTAACCTATTGTACAGCAAAGCGACATCCACTTGCCCACCTTTTTCAACTAAATGTTGTGGAAAAAATTTAAAGCGTTTGGTTTAATTTTGGAAGAATTATTACAAAGTTTTGGGTAATATTTCTTGTATATATTTTTAATTTGTAAATCATTTTGTTTAAGGGTTAACACCTTCACCAAAAACGTTGAAAGTAATGACACCAAATCGTAAATATGAAGTTTCTGATTCTTGTTCAAATATTCGAGCACCTGGTTCACTAATTTTTGAAAACAGTCCATCATCGAGTTCAATAGCTACACCTACAACTAAATCTTGGGTCTCAGCACTAATCGATTTTCCCAGTCCTATGCCAAAAATGAGACAAATAAAAAGCCCCAAAAAAAGCGCACTTCAACAAGAGTTAATTGGGATTCGAAAACTTTTAAAAAGAAAACGTTCTATTATTTCGGCATTAAAACAGAAAAAAACAAACAAAAAGCAGAAATCTAATGTGAATGATTTATTTAAAACATTTAATTTTCCATCTAAAAACTCAAGAAGTTTAGTATCAATGCAATTGTTACACAAAAATCGTAAACCTTGGTCAGCTAATGAAAAAAAAGTTGCACTATCTTTATATTATAAGTCACCTTCGACTTATAAATACATGTGAAGGACTGGAATTGTATTGCCGGCTATGAGTACAGTGACACGTTGGCTACGGTCAATTAACTATTCCACTGGATTTTCGGCCAAATATTTAGAGCAAATGAGGTTAAAAGTTTTAAATATGGATTATAATGAAAAGAAATGTGTTCTTCTATTAGATGAAGTTTCTATAATGAAAACTTTAGAATATAACAAGATTTTGGATGAAATAGAAGGGTTTGAGGATTTAGGTGATATGGGACGTACTGAAAAACTTGGTTCTCACGCGTTAGTAATTATGGTTCGTGGTCTTTACAAAAATTGGAAATTGCCTTTATCATATTTTTTTACTGGCAGTGGAGTTAAAGGTGATACTTTAGTCGAAATTGTTAAAAATTGCGTCAAAAAAATTGTGGATATTGGTTTATTGCCAACTTGCATTGTATGTGACCAAGGGACACAAAATCGTCGGATGTTTTCGTTGCTAGGTGCATCTCAAAATAATCCTTCAACTGAAATATGTGGCAAGAAATTATTTCTTATTTACGATATGCCACATCTTATCAAGAGTTTAAGAAATAATCTACTATCTGGTGATTTTAAAATTGGTAATAAAGTTGTGTCTATAAATGATATTAAAAAAACGTATGAAATTGACAGCCAAAGTAAAACAGCAAGAGCTATGACCAAAATAACACCAACTCATCTATCTCCTAACCCTTTTCAAAAAATGTCCTGCAAGTTAGCAATCCAACTCTTGAGTAATTCTGTATCTGCAGCTATAAAAACATGTGTGGCTACTGGGCAACTAAAATCGAATACAGCACTACATACTTCAGAATTTATTAATGTCATAAATAATATGTTTGATTCGGCAAACAGCAAAAATTTATATGACCGAAATCCAAACAGAAGACCTTTAAGTCCTAAAAATTCAATAGTGTTCGAGAACTTGAAAAAAGCACAAGCTTTATTTAAAGAAGCGGTAAAAGTATGCCATAAGACAAAAAAAATCAGTACGCCCCCTTGTTTTATTGGAATAATTTGGACGACAACTGCTATTTTAGAATTATACGAACAAGAAAAAGTAGACATGCAAATCTATCGGCCAAATAAAGACAATTTTTTAATGACAAATCGACTAACGCAAGATATATTAGAAAATCTATTTTCAGTGATACGACAAAAAAATGGCTACAACAGAAACCCCACAGCCCGCACGTTTCGCTGTTGTTTTGGGCATATATGTACATATAGTTTGATGAAATGTTTGACAACATGTTGTAATAATTGTGAATCGGATGACGATGAATTTATAACTGTTGAAGTTTTGAAGGATGTTCCTGTAGAAAACTTAATTTTATCAGAAAACGGTGAATTGTCAAATGAAAATTATGTTCACGAAACAACCGATTCTGACAATAGTTCAAAGTCAAATGAAGGTATTTATGAGGTTGACTTATCACTGGAGACGTGTTCAATAACTTATTTTTCTGGTTATTTAGCAAAAAAATGTTTTGATAAATTTAATTGTGCCAACTGTAATTTAATCAAACCAAATGAACACTTAGCTGACAAAAAAGAACTTTTAATTATACACAAGGTGTTCGATCATGTGCAACAATCACAAGGCTTAAAAGCTCCATCTGATGAGCTAACACAAATAGTGACAATATGTTTAAATATATTTAAAAATACATTTCCTAAAATTAAGAGCTCAAAGCAAATTTTAAAACAACTTTTGCATAAAGCCGAAAGACAAATAAATAATCATTTTTTGGTTTTACAAAATTCGTTGTAAAGATCACTATGAATTTATTTTACAGCTGCTGTTTAGGACACGCATTTATAAGGAATGTAAGTGGATTAATGCAAACCTTGGAAAGCGAGGTTATCAAAATGCCGCCAAATTGCGAATATTTGAAAATAAATAAATAGGTAAATTATAATTTTGTAATTAATGTTTTGTTATGTATGCAGTGTACAAAATAAGTAATTTATTATAATATTGTTACATAAACAGATTTGAAATAATAGGTAAATAAAGTTGAAGATAAACTCAATTGTTTTGTTAATTTACAATTCTTTTTGTATTTTTATTATGAAAAAAATATAATATTTTGCTCGAATTTTATTAGAAGTTAAATTTTAATAAAACAATAAATTGTAAAATACGCTTAGTCACTGGTCACAGGCGTAAGTACGGTGTCACAGTGGTAATATAAGTCAATAACAGTAAAAAAATTATTTATTTTGCAGGGTAATGATGTATTTATTATTTCCAGTGTACAAATTGCATTAGTCGTAAAATCAAAAAACATTTGAATGAGTCTAATTAATTTTTTTTATTTTTTAAACACTTGATTTTTGAATATGTTGATGAAAATATTTTAGTCAAGGTTTAAGAAATCCTTCTAGTTTATGTTTATTCATTCTGTTATGACTTTTGTGTTATTAGTTTCGAGGTATTTCAAAAGTATTTTAAATGTTCACAAGCGAGTAGGTAATCGAATTTCATGTAAAAGTTTTTTATATGAACAAATTTCTGGTCTGAACTCGTCGCTGAACGGTTTGTATTCTGATTCTTAGCCGCCAGAGGCGACGACGTCCGTAAATGCAATCGCTGAACTACTGGCTACTGTGGTCTGCGACGCCGCCGCCGACGATGTTTGACGACGACGCACGACAACGGTTTTCCGCGGCAACGGTCGGCGACGATTACGGCGATTAGAAATAATTATTTTATTTTATTATAGGCCGAATACCTTAGCGCTCTCTATTGGGAGTAATTACGGCGCAGCGTATTATGTACTGCAGTGAGCTATCTATAGTATTTATAATCAATGATATTATGTATAATTATAAACAAATTGCTCTACTTATTTATTGTATTTACTTTTTTATAATTAATTATTCCAAGTTGATAAAATACAATAAATGTAAGTATCTAAATAATATAATACATCTACCCTATTGTAATTTGCTATGATATTTGTTGTTCAACAAACAATTATTTATTGTTTTATTATTATAGTTTTATAATGAGAACTTATTCAGTTATTCACTTCATTGGTTATGACTCTGTAGAACCTGCACCCAGTACCTGGTTCACAAAGAATACCAAAAAACAGGGCTCTGGCCTCTGATTAAGGAATGTAGACAATTAAAAACTATTCCTAATGAAATTGAATTTGATTACCGTGAAGCTAGAGTTTTCAAAACAAATATCTGTAAGCCATATTGTTTAATAACAAATTTAATAACTATTTAAGACTATTATAATTTGATACATTTTAATACTAGTGTAGGATAATTTGAAGAAACTAATCATTTGGCGGGAAAAGGGTGCAATCAAATTGGTGACTTAAAAACTAAGAGAAAATTTAAAGTAAAAGAAAATAACCAGTCATATCCAGATTGTCTCGAGTATTCAGGTTATTATTTATTTACTCTACCCGATGAAATAATAATATATATCTGTTTAATTATTAATTTATATGACTAACATATTGGCTATTACAATTATTATTTAAATTAGATTCTGATGATGAAAAATGCAATAACAGTTATAAGTCTGATTATAAATCAAAATATGCAGGTTGGTCTCCTTCTCCAAAAAAGTGTAAAAGTAAGTTTTTACTTGTTCCATATTATAGTACCTAAATAAATATCTGTTGTACGTGATTTTTAACAATTTAATATAATATGAGCAAATTATTTGTTTTTAAAGCTCAGAATAATCAACAATAACCATCAATAGTTAAACAGCTGTCTTATGATACATCACCAAATTTGAGCAATAAATATAAGAATGGTAAAAGTGATAATTTATTTATTATTCACTAATAATTGTTACAAAATACAAATGATTTATATCAGTAGGGTAGAAGTATTTTATATAAAGATGTTCTATTTTTACAGTACCAACATTTAATTTAAATGATGATAAAGATAGTAATGAATACCTCATTGAAAACCAATTAGAATCTTCTGATGTTCATCTTGATAAATATTATTCTATTAGTTTGCGTCGAATTTTTATCAAATTCATTAACTTTTTCAGTTATCATTGGTCTTACTTTTTTTCTATTAAGAGAATTTCTCTTATATTCAGATAAATTCGATGAAATTGTGCCTTGAACAATAAAGGTTTCCTGTGATATCAATTTTATGAGGTCTGTGTATTTAAGGTGTAGTTGATTTAGCAGTGTGGCTTCCTCTGTCATTTTTAATATGTACAAATCGATAATCATTTGTCTCTGTTGATCACCAACAAACTGAAATAAAAAATGTTTGATATAAGTACAATGGTACATATTGTATAGTGCATAGATGAATGACGATAATATAATGTATACCTAAATTACAATAAAAAATATATGTAATTATTGCTGACTGTAGGTCCATACATTACTGTAAGTGGAATAAGGAAAATGTTGACTGCATTAATAAATATAATACCTAATTCAATATTTTATAATGTTTTGATTGAAAAATAACCGTTATATAACGTGAAAATAAGAGTGGCATTTAATTACCCTTAAACTCCACTAGTCCACTCAGAATCGTTTTACTGAAGAAATTATATATTGTTTATTTAAAATGTGCCTAATACATACATCAACTATAGTATCCGAAGAGCGAAGTATACCCATAGTGCGATACTTTCAGAATTTATATAATATCGTAATCAAATAATAATAATAATTAATTGTGCTCACCTTTCCAAGTCGTTTTTTTTCGACCGGTACGACAGCATTAAACTTTTCTTCTATTGATTTGGCAGTGTGGCTTGCTCTGTCATTTTTGATATGTACAAATCAATAATCATTTGTCTCTGTTGATCACCAACAAAATGAAAAAAAAATGCTTGATATAAGTACAATGGTACATATTGTATAGTGCATAGGTGAATGACGATAATATAATGTATACCTAAATTATAATAAAAAATATATGTAATTATTGCAGACTGTAGGTCCATACATGACTGTAAGTGGAATAAGGAAAATGTTGACAGCATCAATAAATATAATACCTAATTCAATATTTTATAATGTTTTGATTGAAAAATAACCGTTACATCACGTGAAAATAGGAGTGTCATTTAATTACCCTTAAACTCCACTAGTCCACTCAGAATCGTTTTACTGAAGAAATTATATATTGTTTATTTAAAATGTGCCTAATACATACATCAACTATAGTATCCGAAGAGCGAAGTATACCCATATGGGATACTTTCAGAATTTAGATAATATCGTAATCAAATAATAATAATAATTAATTGTGCTCACCTTTCCAAGTCGTTTTTTTTCGATCGGTACGACAGCATTAAACTTTTCTTCTATTGATTTGGCAGTGTGGCTTGCTCTGTCATTTTTGATATGTACAAATCGATAATCATTTGTCTCTGTTGATCACCAACAAACTGAAAAAAAAAATGTTTGATATAAGTACAATGGTACATAATATTGTATAGTGCATAGGTGAATGACGATAATATAATGTATACCTAAATTACAATAAAAAATATATGTAATTATTGCAGACTGTACGTCCATACATTACTGTAAGTGGAATAAATAAAATGTTGACTGCATCAATAAATATAATACGTAATTCAATATTTTATAATGTTTTGATTGAAAAAAAACCGTTACATCACGTGAAAATAGGAGTGTCATTTAATTACCCTTAAACTCCACTAGTCCACTCAGAATCGTTTTACTGAAGAAATTATATATTGTTTATTTAAAATGTGCCTAATACATACATCAACTATAGTATCCGAAGAGCGAAGTATACCCATAGTGCGATACTTTCAGAATTTATATAATATCGTAATCAAATAATAATAATAATTAAGTTTGCTCACCTTTCCAAGTCGTTTTTTTTTCGACCGGTACGACAGCATTAAACTTTTCTTCTATTGATTTGGCAGTGTGGCTTGCTCTGTCATTTTTGATATGTACAAATCAATAATCATTTGTCTCTGTTGATCACCAACAAACTGAAAAAAAAAATGCTTGATATAAGTACAATGGTACATATTGTATAGTGCATAGGTGAATGACGATAATATAATGTATACCTAAATTATAATAAAAAATATATGTAATTATTGCAGACTGTAGGTCCATACATGACTGTAAGTGGAATAAGGAAAATGTTGACAGCATCAATAAATATAATATCTAATTCAATATTTTATAATGTTTTGATTGAAAAATAACCGTTACATCACGTGAAAATAGGAGTGTCATTTAATTACCCTTAAACTCCACTAGTCCACTCAGAATCGTTTTACTGAAGAAATTATATATTGTTTATTTAAAATGTGCCTAATACATACATCAACTATAGTATCCGAAGAGCGAAGTATACCCATAGTGCGATACTTTCAGAATTTATATAATATTGTAATCAAATAATAATAATAATTAATTGTGCTCACCTTTCCAAGTCGTTTTTTTCGACTGGTACGACAGCATTAAACTTTTCTTCTATTGATTTGGCAGTGTGGCTTGCTCTGTCATTTTTGATATGTACAAATCAATAATCATTTGTCTCTGTTGATCACCAACAAACTGAAAAAAAAATGCTTGATATAAGTACAATGGTACATATTGTATAGTGCATAGGTGAATGACGATAATATAATGTATACCTAAATTACAATAAAAAATATATGTAATTATTGCTGACTGTAGGTCCATACATTACTGTAAGTGGAATAAGGAAAATGTTGACTGCATCAATAAATATAATACCTAATTCAATATTTTATAATGTTTTGAT